TAATCAATGCTAACTTTTTTCGCACTATAAATCCGATTTAAAAATAATATAAAACTGGTTTACAAAAACAGTTACAAAACTAATCACTTAGGCATACAAAAACATTTCTAAAAATGTACCAAAAAAATAAATTCACAAACTTTTTAATTCAAATGACAATTAAACATAACTATATTTACGGTTACTATGAACGGTAGATATGGTAAACACAACAACACGTGTGTTATATAACGCAATGTTATGGCAATGTGTTGTCAAACGAGTTGTCAAACTAATCGCAAAACTTTTAATTAAAACAAAAACTTTTGACCAAAATAATCACTCCAAGTCTTGGGATCGGAACCGGTGTCTGAAGAAGTGATGTCACTATTAAGCGATGACTTGCGGGCAGTCATGAGAGTGGCGGCGAAGTCGCGTCTAGTGATACTATCACTACAGCTGATCGCCAACCACTTGATCCCTGACCACCAATCAGTTGACGCCTTCACCAACAACTTGGAGGCCAATCACGTGAAGACCGCCACCGATCGAGTGATATATCACGCGCTGAATGGTCTGAATCGCTGGGATTCGCAGTACTTCACGGCCATCGCCACCAGTGGTTACGCTCGCGAGGAATGGCTCGCATTCTTCCCACTCTATCCGCTTCTGATCCGTCAATTGGCCGCCACTTTGATGACAATCCAAGTGTCACTCGTCGGCCACAACCATCTCTTCGTCTCGCACTACTGTCTCATACTATTGACCGGTTTTGTGGCGAACTTCTTGGCGTTTGTCTCGGCGTCTGTCGTGTTGTATAAACTGACGATCAAATTGTTTGCCAATAAGTCGATGGCCGCGGAGTGTGTCCAGTGGTTCGCATACAACCCGTCCTCCATATTCTTCTCGGCCTACTATTCCGAGTCGTTGTTCGCATTCCTCACGTTTGGCGGCATTTACTTCACTCACGCGTCCGATAATAGGCTACACTTGTTGTGGGCGTCGGTAGCCTTTGGACTCAGCTCTGCCACCCGTTCTAATGGTATGAAACCAGTGATATATACCACTCGGTGATCATTACTTAAGACTTTTTGTGATATATTTTAGGCCTTATATCGATTGGATTCATTGTATACACGAAACTAAATCATATAATCAATGACTGTTTTATGCACCGGCGGTTTGTCCTATATTCTAGACTAGTCATCCATGTCCTGCAGACATTATTCTATGTGTTGGTATGTACGCTGCCATTCCTCTACTATCAACTGTACTCATGGGAACTGTTTTGCGATGGTGTCCCCAATATGCCCAAGTGGTGTATGGCTGACATATTACTGCCCTACACATACATCCAGAAGCGGTACTGGAATGTAGGCTTTCTGGCCTATTATGAGTTCAAACAGATACCAAACTTTCTGCTCGCCCTCCCAGTCATTGCACTCAATCTTAAGACATGCCTCCAATATCTACTGATCAATAAGTCGAGACTTATGTCTCTTATGGCACAGCAGTTCCACCGCCAGAATCGCGAGAAATACCATTCAATTATGAATAACGACAAGTGTTTCGTGCATATCGTGTACGTGTTGGCGATGACTGTGTTTTGTATACTATTTGTGCACATCCAGGTGACCACCAGGATGTTGATGTCGGCCACACCGTTGATCTATTGGGCCATAGAGTCCGATGAAATCAAAAGCCATAAACGGCGCACAGATTTCATACATCTCTGGTTTTACGGCTATTTCATTGTGGGAACTATTCTTCACTCAAACTTTTTGCCATTTACTTAACTCATGCGTTCATAATTCAGATTTCATTATGTATTTTAAGTATTATTTATTTAATCAGGGAAAGATTTTTCATTAAAACTTTTAATTGAATAAATGTTTTTACTTTCTAAGCGTTAAATATAATTAGACATAAATTTAGTGTTCATTCAATACAAGAGTTGTTTTTCTCTGGAGATAATGGACTGATAGGTATGTTATGTTTTGGGATTGGGATCTGTTGTTTGGTTCTGTTTTTTGTTTGTCGTGTTTGGGCCGCCGGTGGGACTGTTATCAGTGGTGGCCGGCGTCATATCGGTCTTCATCATAGGCTTCGCCTCTTTCACCCAGGGATGCAAAATGAGTGCAGTTGTGGTGATGCGAGAGGTCTCGTTCGGGTCCAGCATTTTGCTGATGACGTCTTTGGCCGCGTCGCTGACTGTCTTATGATAGCTATAGTGTCGCCTCAACTGGTTGTCCAGCATTTGCTTCTCGTCTTTCGGGTCAAACGGGAACTGATTCTCAAATATCTGGAACAGTAAGACACCCGAAGCCCACACGTCGTACTTCTGGGGCATATACCCCTTGAGTTGGAGGATCTGCGGCGCTGTGAATGTTAAAATAGCAAGGTCAGATTTAAACTAGATACTTTAATTGATCCAAAAGTTACGGAAGTAAGGAATACTGCCGCAGAAGGTTTGGCTCAACTTCTCGCGCGTCATGTCCTTGGGGTCCAAATCGCTTTGTCGGGAATGACTGAAATCGGACAGTTTGGGCACAAAGTACTTCGTGAGCAGCACATTGTCGGCCTTCATGTCCCGGTGCGCAAAGTTCACGGAATGCATATACCGGAGCCCTTCGACGATCGACTTAAACACCTGTTGGCAGTCCTTCTCGGAGAAGGCGCCGTTCGCCTTCAACCAGTCGCCCAGCGAGCCATACACGGCGTACTCCATGACGATCAGGATCTTGTTGTCCGTTTGCATCAAATCGTAAATCTTGATAATGTTTTGGTGTTTTATTCTTTGCATTACAGTTATCTCTTTGCGCAGAAACTTCACGCGATAGTTGTCGGACGCCTTCTTCAGGTCAATCACTTTAATGGCGTTGTGTTTGAGTTGATCCATATTGAGGCCGTAGTAGACGGTCGAGTAGTTCCCGGAGCCGATCTCGTCCACCACTTCCACCTTCTTCTTACTCAATATAGCGGCCACTTCTTTGAATAGTTTGTTTTGCTCGTCCGGCGCCCGCTTTTTGATGCCTTTCGGTAAGGGCTGAGCTCTGAACTCCTGTTCCTTCCGTTGACGCTCTTCC